ATAAAAAGTAAAAATAAAAAAAAATCAAGGAGAGAGGGGGACAAGGAAGGTTGAACTCGAAGATGTCGAAGAGTTCAGAGCCGGAGTTTTATTCCTGTGGGGTTTTAATTCCTCCTTTTGGCTCCCCCTTTTCCTGCTGCCCTGGGGCTGTGGGGGGCTCAGGGTGTCCTGTTTTGTGTCCTGCAGGTGCTCCAGGTGGCTTCTCTCGCCGATGAACCCTTGGAAGTGACCAGTGAGGAGCTGCACGAGCTGGAGGGTGACGGCGGTTATTGAGTGGGATCCAACGGGGGAGCCTTGGGATTGGGCTTTTTGGGGATTGGGGTTTTTGGGGCTCTTTCTCGGGTTTTTGGGCTCCTTCTGTAGATTTTTTGGGCTCTTTCTTCATTATTTGGGCCAGCCCTTTATTGGCTATTTGCTATTATTATTATTATTATTATTATTATTATTAATAATAATAATAATAATAATAATATTATTATTATTATTATTATTATTATTACTACTTGGGCCTTTTATTATTACTGTCGTTATTATTATTGTTTGGGGCCTTTTTTAATATTCTAGTTGTTATTATTTGGGATTATTATTAATAATAATATATTAATATTAATAATAATATTCTAGTTATTATTATTTGGAATTATGATGATGATGGCCCATTATTATAATTATTATTATTATTTGGGCCCTTTCTTGATTATTTGGGCCCTTTCTTGATTATTTGGGCCCTTTCTTGATTATTTGGGCTGACCCTTTATTGGTTATTTGGGCCCTTTATTGTTATTATTATTATTATTATTATTATTTTGGCACTTTATTGATTATTTGGGCTCTTTCTTTATATTATTTGGGCTCTTTATTGATTATTTGGGCTCTCTAATGATTATTTGGGTTCTTTATTGTTATTACTTGGACTCTTTCTGTAGATTTTATGGGCTCTTTCTTTATTATTTGGGCCAGCCCTTTATGGGTTATTTGGGCCTATTATTATTATTATTATTATTGTTATTATTTTTACCCTTTATTAATATTATAGTTATTATTACTTGGGTGGATTATTATTATTACTATTATTATTATTATTATTAGGGCCCTTTATTGATTATTTGGGCTCTCTAATGATTATTTGGGTTCTTTATCATTATTATTTGGGCTCTTCAGATATTTTTGGGCTCTTTCTTTAGATTTTTTGGGGCTCTTTCTGGAGATTTTTTGGGCTCTTTCTGTATAATTTGGGCTGGCCCTTTATTGGATATTTGGGGCCTTTATTATTATTATTGTTATTATGATGATGATGATGATTATGATTACTTGGGCCTATTATTGTTATTTTATTATTATTTTTTATTATTGTTATTATTATTATTATTATTTTGAGACCTTTTTAATATTATAGTTATTATTATTATTTATTGATTATTTTGGCCCTTTATTGATTATTTGGGCTCTCTAATGATTATTTGGGTTCCTTATCGTTATTATTTGGGCTCTTTAGATATTTTTGAGCTCTTTCTTCAGATGTTTTGGGGCTCTTTAGATTTTTTTGGGCTCTTTTTTTAGATTTTTTTGGCCTGCTTATGGAGATCTTTTGGGCTCTTTCTTTATTATTTGGGCTGACCCTTTATTGGTTATTTGGGGCCTTTATTATTATTATTTTTATTATTATTATTATTATTATTATAGTTATTATTATTATTGTTTGGGCTCTTTTTTAATATTATAGTTATTATTATTTGGACCTATTATTATTATGGCTCATTATTATTGTTATTGTTATTATTATTATTTTTATTTGGGCTCTCTAATGATTATTTGGGTTCTTTATTTATTATTTGGGCTCTCTAATGATTATTTGGGTTCTTTATTTTTTATTTGGGCTCTCTAATGATTATTTGGGTTCTTTATTTATTATTTGGGCTCTCTAATGA